TAGCTCGCGAGATTTTGCTGGTTCCGCATTTCGGGTCTGCGAGGTGGGGGAGGCGGGCACAGCGGGCGTCAGGGTGTGCACGGCCTGGTAGCGGCTGCATCTCCAGCTCGGAACGGCGGCGGCTCGGCTTCCGCTGTCAGCGAGCTGAGGACCGTACGCTCCCTCTCGCCGGCTCCGAATCCTGACGGGGGTGGGGGCCAGCGGCCCCTCCCCTCCCCTCTGAAGACCGAAGATGAGCTTCCTCTTGTGAGTGGGGCCGGGCCGAGGGCGCCAGGGCAGAGGGCGGAGATGGGGAGGGGGCCAGCGGGGCCTGAGGCAAGGGCCGGCCTAGGGTTGGGGTCAGAGTGGCTGGCGTTTGCTTTGCCTCTGCTCGGGTCCACGGGATGGCCAGGAAGTTGGGCGAGAGTGACGGAGATGAAGGTAGAGGCAAAGGAAGCGGAGCGAGACGGCTGGGGAGTAGAAAGGCCCCAAGGTCGGCCGCGCCTCCAAACTTTTCCGCCCGAGCGCCCCCGAGGGCGGAGAGACGATCTGGAGGCGGAGCCCTGGGCTCCCAATTTCAACAAGTCTCGAGCCTCCTAGTATCGGTCCTTGCGGACTTAGCCTTTTACTCCATCACATGTCCAGTTTTATTATTGTCCATATAAAATGCCGTCCCAGGAAAATGTGGAGTGCCGCAGTTTGAGGACCCTGAAGTTAAGATGCGGGCCCCACAACCAGACCGTTCTGTCGGGGTCTGATTCTGTCCTCTTACCGGTTTTGTGAATTTGTGTAAGTTAGCTACCTTCTCTTGTCCTCTGTAGAATTTCATTTTAGAAATAACGCTTAGGCCCAAACGAAGCTAAAGTTTGTAAATTCTTTCAGTTTGTTATTCTCAGGTGGCTTGTATATTGCTTAAATGTGTTATGTGATAGAATAATGATTCACTTTTAGTTATGTACGTAAGCCACATGCTTGACATTTTTAAATTACACAGTGTTTCATAACCAGAGTTTACCCACTTCTTATTATGAGACATTTGGATTCTTTCTAGTATTTCACTATTATAGCACTACTGAGTGTATCTTTATCCAAATCTCATTTTCCTTCCTTTGGGTTATTTTCGTAAGGGTATAGTCTCCAAAATATTACCATGCCAAAAAGTGTGTATGATTTAATTACACATTTTAATATTAATAGAAGTATTTCTCCCCTGCCCCCAGTCTTTCTCATAAGTTGTTGTTTAGGTAGTACTTTATTTGTGGATACACAGTTGGCTTTTCGGACTTAAATGTGAGACTTCTTTCTTTTATTAAACTTTGTCTTGTTGACGGATGCTTGAGTTGTTTTCGCTTTTTGGCCATTAGAAATAATGCCGCTATGAATATGTGTGTACAGGTTTTTTGTGTGGATGTTATGTGTTCATATCTCTTGGACATATACCTAGGAGTGGAATTGCTGGTTTATATGGTAACTACGTTTAACCTTTTGAGGAATGCCAAACTTTTCAAAGCACTGAACCATTGTACATGTCCACCAGCACTGTATGAGGGTTCCAAATTCCCCACACCCTTGATAGCACTTGTTAATTGTGATTTTTATTTTTTTGAGACACGGTCTCACTGTGTCGCTCAGGCTGGAGTGGAGCGGTGAGATCATAGCTCACTGTAACCTTGAACTCCTAGGTTTAAGCCATCCTGCTGCTTCAGCCTCTGGAGTAGCTAGGACTCTAGGCACATGCCCTGAGGCCAGGCTAATCTTTAAAAAGAATTTTCTGTAGAGATGGAGGTCTCACTATGTTGCCCAGGTTGCCCAAGCTGGTCTTGAACTCCTGGCCTCAAGGGATCCTCCCACCTTGGCCTCCTAAAATGCTGGGATTACAAGCATGAAGGCCCCCAGTCTGTCTTTTTTATGATAGTAATCCTAAATGTGTGTGAAGTGGTATCTCTTGATTTTGATTTGCATTTCCCTAATGACTAATGGTGTTGAGCATCTTTTCATGTGTATATTGGCCATTTGAATACAGTCTTTAGACTC